TTTCAAAAAACCCGTGAATTGATTTAAAATTTTGCTGGTAGCTTTTTAATAGCAATAGGAATCTATAATAACAAATTGAACATGCTATCGTTGTTTAAGTGTATAGCCTATACATCCTTAAATGAATTGTCGCAGGTTTAGGACCAGTGGCGAACGTGGAGCGAACGCTTGGTCACCTATCGGGTTACCACCACGACATAATCGCGGCTATGAAGCAAGCGACGGCCCACCGGGAATCGGCGGGTACCCCGTCGGCCAGTGGGAACGTAATGGAAGAGGAGGACCGCGGGTATCCTTCGGACCTGTATTGCAAGGACATGGCCGAGCCGAAGGAGATCGAACAGCAAGAGGACGAGGAGTACGACGAAGAGTACCAGCAGTCCTGCGGTATAATTCGCATCAGAAACCTCGAGGACCTGATCAAACAGTTGGAACGTCACTCGGTGAGGAACCAGAGTCCCTGCGGTTCCGAGAGCGAGGCCGATCGTCCCTACAGAATGGACTCGTCCGTTTGTAGCGAGTCCTCGCAAGGGTAAGAACTGATGCGAAATCTAGGCTTCGCCACGCTTTAATCGATGATACCCGACTAGCCTGGTATTAACGCCTTCTTCTCGTTGCTTCTCTATCTATCTTGGCAAAGCTTGATCGCGGCCGAGTCGGCTTCAACTCGACCGCGAGATCCAGGTTTTTGCGACTAAGGTTCGACTGAACGGAACTAGCAAAAATTGGGCAAGACCACAGTTGGTTCAGCGTATACATTACTTTTATACGTGTACACTCACACACAAAGACTCAACAATCTATATATATAAATATATATATATATATTACATCTCTTTGTCGATGCGTAACGCTTACTATTTTATTCTCTCGTTGTGTTGTATACATTATTGTATTTCGCTTCCTGACTAATTGCGCATATATGTGTGTGTATATATGTATATACACATATATACAGACTCGTGACACGCGTCTGGATACAAGTAGCATTAGCGTAGTTATTGCAGCGAGACCAGCCGAACACGGACAATTGGTAAAAATCGAGTAGTATCTCACATGCAGAGTCTGTTTATACCGTAAGAGAGAGAGAGAGAGAGAGAGAAGATATCGGCTATTCGGGGTTACAAGGGGGAAACGGCCGGAGGGACATGTCTAAAAAGATTCATTCGATTTCCTACGTAGAAGCAGAAGATGTAGCCGCGGCCGTGACGATACCTATGGTAGATATTGTCAGCCATCGTCACGGAGTCCTTACGGCACCCATCAGCCCGCTCAACTCTCCCATCAAATGCACAAGGAGGAGGGTATCTATGCAACTGCCGATCCTGACAGAGGCTCAAATACTAGGGGTGAAACTCCCGATAGTGGAAGGTATCGCAGATTCTTTCAGTACGAACACCGTAGACCGAGAGACTCGTAGCCAAAAACCCTGTCGACAAAGCAATCCTCCACGAGCACGTTCCTCACGATCGTCGGGAGAGAAGCTTGATTCTATCGAAACGAGATCACCCCCGCCTCCTACCGTTGACCCTTTCACGCCTGGACACGACTCAAAAAACTGATCTCTCGTACCGTTCAATCGTATAAACGGGCCAAGCTGTATTTATTAAAAATACGGTAGAACTCGGAACGTAAGCAGGATAAGCAGAAGGGCTGAAAGGGTTAAACTGATTCCCACCACTATAGTGAATTCAGATAAGGATTGGTGCATGCCCCCAAATTCGAAAGGGACCCGAAATGTTTGTCGAAATAAACGGAATATAAATAGACTCGGCATACCCCAAGTGAACTCGTATGCGTCTGCATACTGGGAAGTAAACAGAAACAAACCAAATTCAACACACCTTTCGCATGCTCTACATTGTTTAGTTGCTTCTGCGATGCGCTACGAATATGCGGATTTTTATGCGAGAACGCGATAAGACTAAATGCAAAACGTGTCCAAATCTCGTTGTTCAATCCTGTGTGTTACTCGACGTAAAAATCCGCAGTCTATCTGTGAATGCGTGGTATCTTTTGAACGAGCGAATGGAACGCGAACAAAGCCTTAGAGAAGCATCAGTACTGTTTGCGGTTCACGACGCGCCACAACGATTTCTCGCACTTATCCTTATCTGAAGGTTTCATTCCTTTAATTACTGCTTTGATCGTACGACGATGCGACTGTTGGTCGTAGCCGCAATTCGCAAGGCTTCGCACGTGCAGGCTAGACAGCTTTCTGTGTGCGTGAAGCGTGTATGCACGCGTTACACTTTAATCGGACACTCGATCAACCACGCAGACACACACACAGACACACACGTACATACAGGGTAATCGGTAAGAAAGATTGTCTGAACCTATCGACTGGTCGATCATTCTAAAGCCTGACAAACGATCTCCCTGATCAATGAATCCTCCACGTACTTTGAGGAAGTAACGCGTGCATGGCACAAATTTTAGGGGTGAAAGAGAGGTAAGTGTAAAGCTTGTATCGAAATCAAAGGGATGTATTCGGGGCGTATGCAGCATTAGTGGTCGTGGAATAGATCCAATGGGCTCGTGTAATCTTGTTATTTTCTAGTGATGCATTTATTCAAGCTCAACAACAACTAGCCCGATGGACTAGTGAGGACGGAGTGGAACACCGGGCACCGCAGCAGCAGCAGCAGCAGCCGCCGCCGCCACCGCCACCGCCACCGCCAGGGACGATGGTGCCGTTGCTGCAACTGCATAAACGCGAACATCATCATCAGCCGCAGCAGCCGTATCATCATTTCCACCAGTCACAGCAGCAGCAGCAGCAGCAGCAGCAGCCGCAGGAGCAAGATCTACAAGAACAACACCAACTGCCGGTGGAACAACTGCCAATACAGCAGCGCGGCTATTATCCATCCCCACCCCACACTGATAACGGTCTCGAGAGCGACGAGACTGAAAATGCTCAATCCCATCAACAACAAAATCTCCCCGACATTCGTGGAATCGATGTTAATCACTCGCCTATTATTAACAAATGCCCAATAGACGTTAACTTTAGTCTAGATTGTAACATAAATAATGGTTCCCCTAAAGAATTAAATACCAGCAACACTAGTGATAACGAAAATACTGCCCTACTGCCCCCTTCGCATTTCCCCGAGTACAAGCATTGATAATTATTAATCGATGACAGATAGTGTCCAGAAAACATAGTGGTGTGAATTAATCTTGAACTCGCATTTTATACTGAATAGTGTAAATAACGATAAACTATTGATCACGACATCAAGAACAACAAAAAATGGAGGATAAACAAGTATTAAAATTATATGAATTAAAATAATCTATATAAAATGTTTAATAATAAACATTAGTAAAACGATTTACTCAAAAAGAAACGCGTCGCTGTGTTATTCGTATACATATGTATATCTACGTTCCCTGTTTGTTATCAATCTCATTCGCCCTGACATTACGATATCCAAAAGACTGAGCACGGAATAAATATCCTAATCATTTATACGGCCCCCTTGTCAATTTCGATAATTATCCTGTATTCATGTTATCCGTGCACATATCCGAGAAATATGAAAGGTGCTCGAGAATATTGCGCATTAAACATGCCGATCGGAATTCATCACTGTTATATCATACTTTCCCTTCCCTTCCCCCATTAAACAACTCGGTTAATAAAATACTTACTTTGTTCTTGTAAGAAAATATAAGTACTTGGTCACGTTCGTCCGAAACATCGAGAACAAAAAACGTTCGATGCTCATTTTGTTACGAACACACGGAAATTTATCACGTCACACATACGAAAATTGGCAAGTGCCAACAAAATTGTTACGTATTTCTCCCCTTTCAACAATGTTCGGTTAAAATCGGTTAATAAATGCTTTATTCTTACCAGAACTTTGCTTACGTTAATTAGAAAAGGCGACGTTTGTTGTCGTTAGCAAAAAAGGCTAACGAACTTTCTCGTACACGACGCGACGTACATGTTTGAAAAATATTGGTAATTATTTGGACAGATACTTACGAATTGTACTCTAAAGTCCATCCCCGGCATCCCCAGTTCATGTTTCTCGAGCAGATTGTCACTGATCACTGCACATTTACAAATTATCTTGCAAAAACTTACTCGAACAACCAGCTCCGTAACGGCCGCCATGATCCACCGTCGTCCGAGTGTCCGAGTAGTTTGAAGTTCTTGACATGCGCAGTACAGATGTCCTACGCACAGCCAACTTCAGTGCCCGTTTATTCGATCCTTTTATTGATTGATTGATAAAAATCTGTAATTTACGTCAAATATCATAAACATTAGTCGAATTTCAATGAGATTGATATATTAGATGATTACGACGCATTAGATGCGAATGAAATACGTATACTTGCCTTGATCGCGAGAGTAAAGCGACAACGAGATTCCAGATTTCCCACATTTCGCAGAACCGTTTATTATTCTTATTAACAACGATGACGACGAATGTTCAGCGATTTTGCTTTTCTTAATTAAAATACTTCGATTTACTTGAATCGGCGTTCTTCCTGATGATCCCCCTCTTCCGTACCCCGCGCCATCACGCACGAGACACTGAACTGAAGTCTGCTGCAAGGCATACGAAGTATAGAGCGATGTCGCCGTGTTCACGTCGGTAGTTCCGTGCATTAGTAAGTAGGTACTTTCTCGGGTTAAGTTCGTATTCGTCGAAGGACAATTCCGACTGGGATCGGAAATCGGGGTCACCGATCTTCGTTTTCTTTTTGAAAAATCCGGAAAAAGTGCGGTCGATGCTGAGTGAACGTTTCGGAATCGGTCGACACGTCAATAAATGAACCCGTGACGGGAACAAGGGAACATGCCACCGACACGCTCGTGAATTTCCTGGGCGGCTCGTCGATTTAGCAGATAAACATGTGCTTGACAAAAGTTTGAGTCTTGTCGTACGATGCAGTCCATTTATTGGACCGGGAGGCTGTTGTCTCGGGCGATATGGAACAGCATATCAAATTATACAGCATGCACCGATCCGAACGTGAACAAACGTCGCGAGGCATCGTTCGTTTCTGCAGTGTGCGGTTTTCCGAAAGATTTTGCACGAGGTCGTATTCGTAAAGGACAGTTCGGTGACGACGCTTGGTTCAGTGCTAAATTCAAGACTGTTGAAGTGATAGGTAATGTCAATGAATGAATGAACGCTCGAGCTGCTTATCATTGCGTCATATTTGCATTTTGATTGATTGCTCGTGGTTCGATAAATCATCTGACGCGACGACAAGAACTGGGGTAACTCGTCGTATTTTGACATTGTCCAGGTGTAGCGGACGGTGTAGGTGGATGGAGGCATTATGGAATCGATCCAGGAGAGTTTTCCAGTTTTCTAATGAGAACTTGTGAAAGACTGGTGTCTATGGGCAGGTTTACACCCTCGGAACCGGCTGGTTTATTAGCGCGTAGTTACTATGAATTGTTAGAAAATAAACAACCCATATTAGGTACAAAAATTACTTCGAACGCTCGTGGTCCCTCTCAAACGAATCCTAAGTAAGATTCATCTATTTGTGTGATTGCATAGGTAGCAGTACTGCGTGTGTTATAGTTCTCAATAAAGAGACAAGTAGCATTTACGCTGCCAATATCGGAGACAGTGGTTTTGTAGTTGTAAGGAAAGGAGAAGTAGTTCACCGTTCTTCCGAACAGCAACACTACTTTAATACTCCGTTTCAATTGTCTCTTCCGCCTCCAGGACATTCTGGTCTGGTTCTAAGCGATAGGTATTCGGACTTCTCACAGAATTTGAGCATAAGTTTGAAGTAACATCTTGTTCATATTCGCGTTTTGACTTCAGTCCAGAATCTGCTGATACTTCGAGTTTCGGTGTTGAAGACGGCGATGTCATTCTTCTAGCCACCGACGGAGTATTCGACAATGTGCCTGACCAATTACTTATCACTGAAATGCGTAAGATCCAAGGGGAGAGAGATCCAACGAAGATACAAGGAGTCGCCAACTCAATAGCTTGGATGGCGCGTAGCTTAGCTTTCGACGGCGCATTTATGTCTCCATTCGCCCAAAGTGCTAGAGAGAATGGAATTGATACCATAGGTACGTACCCAGCGTTGTAATATTTCAATTACGATTAATGATATCTCCGAAATCGCGATCGTTTGCTCTTTGGCCCATTTTATTCACAGTACACCATTTTTAATACAAAATATACTCGTTTTATTCATACCGTACATCTCGCAATCTCTCATACTCTAATAATTCCTTGTACTTGCCCTTTTATACTTTGGTAATAACTTCGTCTCCGATTACTGCACCTGTACTCGCAATGTGTCTCTTGCATCTTTCCAGGTGGTAAACCAGACGACATTACAGTGCTTTTAGCAACGGTGGCAATATAATAAAGTATGTACAATAGTGTCTCGATCATTGTATTATAGTCCATGTCATTGCGTATATGTATCTAGTTACACATCATTATATTCCGTTATGATAATCATTTATTATTTAAATCTTAATAAATGGTTTTGTAAATCATTCACCATCGTATATTTGTGGAACCACTATAAATAAATTTTGTTCGACGAACGAAATCGTTGATCAGATTGTAGTTAGCAAGAATGATTTTTTACTAACGGAAACTTGTATGTAAATATATAAATTTGCCTAAATATATACAAACGAGTAACTATAAAAAACTTACATTGCTTATCGTGGCACAGTAATGAGCAAAAGAATACGATGTACGATACATACCGACTGGTGTGAATGAATAATACGTCATTTATACCGACATGATGTCAAACTAAATTGAACCCTTTTATTTCATTTTTTAATGGTCATATAAATAACATTTTTCCTAATATTTACAAAAAGAGTACTACGTGACGAGTCCCCGAGGCTCTCACGGCCCCGGATTCTCGTAGTTAAAATTGCCAAAGCCTTCGATATGTCAACTGCGTTCTTCCGAGTGGTTCAAACTGCGAAGCAACTGCGTTACATTCGGAAGCTTCTCGCACTTTTAACTACCACCTAGTAACTCGTACGCGATCGTTCAAGTAGAAATTCTTCGCAATGCTTTGGCTATTTTGCCGACCGTACAATTTATCGTGGCAACATTGACAAATGTATTCACCAGCGTGTGTCAGAATGCAATCGCATCTACGTAATACGAATACATCACAGCGTAACTTCCAGTTCGAAGCGAACGGCCATAAATTATCGCTATCGACATGGAAAATGAAAAGGGGGAACAACTGGCTATAAACTGGACTAGCGTGTAAATCATTCTCAATAGTTTTCATTCTTGTAAAGGGAATGTTAATTTGTGTCTACTCTTCTCGACGTTCTAGCCCGGATACATGTACATCGTAACATTACACGTTTTTATCAAATGCCCATAAAAAAATTACTGTGATGTATTCTATTATTTACAGTATTATGCATTCTCGAACGTTGTATAAAATGTATTATCGTATAATTAAAAACGACCAGGGAATATTTATAATAGGATAATAAATAAAGATATTTACATTATCCAATAATGTAAAATTTTTACAATAAACTCTTTTGTAATCAGGGGTTTCAATTTCGCATCTCCTATTTTCGGGCGATGAAAGAATTAAAAGTTAAAACTCCGAGAAGCATTTGATAACTACTACGTTTTCTGAAAAATTGTAACCCCTGTCAAAGAATTGGAAGAATGTCTTCTTCATTATAAGTTTCTCGTTACATGTTTCATAGTATCAAGGCTGTAAACTCAATATTCTTGTTAATAACTGGGGAAATCAAGGAACAATGTTGCGTACGTAGCAATGGAAATGTTTACTTGATATGCCAATCGGTTGGAAGCAGGAGCTTGAACTTAGAATCATTGCACGTTGGCTTCTTGACCCCAATTGAACCCGCCTGGACGATCTTCGGGCGGTGGAATGGTGTCCACGTCTTCTGGATGTGCGTCGAACAAAGTCTTTCTATGATCGAACAAACGGAAATTCACATCTGTACGGGAGCGAACGTTAATTAGAACGAAGAAATGCGAGAAGAAACTTACAGTATTTGTGGAGTTTTGAGAACACGGAACCCTCCCCTTAGACGCGGAAATACGTCCTCTGCGAAGTAATACATATGTCCCACAGCCATCCCAACTAGATCTACCCAAATTGGATTACCGAGAAGTACAGAGAACCCTAGTAGCACCCAAGGCAAATACGGTGCCTGTAGAAAAAAGAAACGCGTTCAAGATTTTAGCTAACGAGAAGAAATCTGGAAACTCACTTGAAAGTTTAACAGTCCGAAGAAGTTTAGTCTAACAAACGGATTCCTCCTGGACCAAACGTAGACTAACATAATCGTAAATGCATGACCCAGAAATAGTAGATTAACAAAAAATGCAAATGTCTATAAAAAGTTCAGGAGATTTGTCGAGTACGAGGCGCTAAAACTGTTGATAAATCGTACTATAAAAGGATACAATCATACATATGCCCCCGAAAATGAACATCATCACGAAATCAGCTGTCCTCCTACGAAATGATCCTTCTTCCAGCATCCGACAATATCGATAAGTAAAGATCATATTGAAAAGGAAATTGAAACCCAAATTCCCGAAGAATAAGAACGTGGTAATTAATCTCCAAAACTGAAACATGCTACAGAGTTACACCTGTTCTTTGGGAATTGATAACTCGTATCGCTCCTTGTTTACCTGATATTGTTCAATAATTAACGTAGGATTAAAATACAACCGGAATGGAGACACCAAGTCTAGTTGCTGAAATGGAAAAATCGAGGATACTGTTGATGATCGAAGGAATCATAATCGTTAGATGTATCGTGAATTAAATATTCTACAGACCACAGCAAGAGTCGTGATGACACAAGCCGTTGTATAAGCTCGTGTCACCACAGGTATTTGCATGTACTCCTGTCGGAAAGTTTGATAGGCCATTGGTGTAATCGTTGCGGTTATTCTGTACACCTAAGGACCGATTCTTTTCCCAGATTCGTCGCCTTTACGATTTATTATCACATGTTGACCGTTACTGTGCGTTATCTAAATTTAATCATTACCCACATCACGACAAATTTGTTATGTTCAGTTTCGTACACGTAATACGTGAACACTGTAGCAATTGGATGACGCAGAGAACTCGATTCTCTTTGATATCGATAATGGTTTCGTGACCTCTTCAGTGTTGTAAAATTTGAGGGATTTCAACTTCACTGCTGTGCGTTGTGGAATAGTGAAACACGGGTTTCACTCACAAGATTTGAGAAATTTCTTTTTCACTATTCCTCAAAATGACCTAACGACGATATCGTACGAGCATGAGCCACGTGTCCGTGAGCTCAAAGCTTCACCTGACGAATAGAGACGAGAATTGAGAGAAAAAGAACATCGGTCTTCCTCTGTTGCTCCTGGAATGTCATTAATCAATTTACAATCAATTCCAAAAATCTACCACTCGTTCATATATTTTCCTCTCCGGTTTTACCCGAATTGAAATTGTAAAAACGGATAGAAGTTTATGCAAGGTATGCTGTGTGCTGCCACCTCCATGCTTGTCAAGTCTGTCTAGCTTTCAAAATCGTGTACTGATCGTACTGATCGTGTACCGTGCAGGTCGATGGGTGTAAGATATTGTTTATTTACCAATTAAAATGTTTTAATTGAAACGTATAATCGAGCTACTCGGTCGACGAAACTACCGCGTTGATGCGCTTGAATTTTATATAAAAGACAGACGAAGAATCTCTCGTTTCGTTTATTCATCGAGATGACTTCGAAGACGGAGGTTACGCTAGAGCACTTTTATATATTTAATGGGACTTACGCTAAAAAAGAAGGAGAGGTAGGCAAATAGAACTTAAAAGAATACCAGTCCGGAGATCTGCGTGATTAACAGCGTTTTCTGTCCGTGTAGGAAGAAAAAAAGATACTTTATTATTACCCGGAAAGAGATTTAGATGTACAAATTAAAAATATAGGACTCAGCGAGGCAATTATTAAATTCGCACAGTCGTTTAATCCTGGCCAATCATGTGATTATTGTCATACACATAAAACTAGGCAAATTTATTATCAACCAGAACCAAATTTTTGGATGGTGATGGTAAGATTGCTCTGCGTAAAACTGTGTATTTTTTATCGTGCAAGTTTATAATACTCTGATTATTCGACAGATCGTCGGTGTACCATATATATGGAAAGAGAAAGATGGTAATAAATATACAGAATATCAGTATGATGAGGTTTCTAGCAGTGTTTGTCAATCCATATTAAAGCAGGCCTATGTTATGTTTAGACTGTTTATGGGATCATTTGATACCATCATTAATGAACCCGAGTGTGGATCCATAACACTGTTAAAACATAAACTTGAACATTTCTACTCAAGGGTAAATATGATCTTTAATGAGTACAATTGGAATTTGTTACATCTTCTGATGTCACGCATTCTTCGCAGTATTTAATGTCATTGAAATTGAACAACAGTGATATTCTGGATATTTTCCAAGGATTGCAATTCTTACCTCTCGACAAAGTGACATTTTTGCGAGTTCAATGTTTCATGAATCTCATAGAAGCCATGTTCTCCCAAGTGAAATACACTGCGTTCCTCTACAATGATCAAGTCGTATGGTTGGTAACGAAGAATTATGCACGACATTAAATATGTAACACCTAAAACATTAGCGATCATTGTACAGGAGTGGGCTAGAACCAGAAGACATGCAAGTAGTTTACAATTACTTAGTGAGTACACTTTTACCGGCTCATCTCGAAAAAGAATTACACGGCGGTTCGATGCCCAGAAATTCACCTTCACCGTTCACTACTACTCACTATGGAAAGTTAGTACACACACGATAGTTTGGCTGTATAACAGGAAAATGATTCATACAAATTTTGTAGATTCGTTACTGGTCCGTCAAGCATTAACGAATCAAGTTTAATTGGAAAGTCTCCTAAAGTATTCATAAACTATTCCACTGAACCAGTTTCGTTATACTTGGTAGTTTACAGAGCATTGAGTGCCACGATATGCCTGTTTGTCGATAGTAAGTTTTCCAAAGATGATCGCGCGCGCGGTAGGGCAGCATGAAATTAAAATACTTACTGTTACAGGTAAAACAAGTTTGTTGATTGATTTTTTCAAAAGTCTCGATAGTTTTCTCGGCCCGCAATTAACTACGCTAGTTAGTTCAGTCGCGGAGCAGTGCGCTAAACACGTCACGGTTCCGTCGGAGTCCTGCAAATACCTGTATTTCAATAAACTCAACTTGGCATATAAAAGTACGATACATCCGGATAACAGGCAATGCTCTAATGTACTCACAACGCCTGAAGTCTTGCGAGTTATCACTGACATATACAACGACACAAACAAGTTAGTATATGCATTTATTTTAATGCAACGCGTTTCTACATTGTTCTACGTAATTTCAGACTGAAAGAATCTGGAGAAGTTATTATAAAAACTATGAGCGATTACTGGGTCGTCGGAAAATTGTCGAACTTGAGAGAGTTCTTCGTAGTTATTCAGCAAAAGAGCGCGAGCATAATCGAAATCGAAGGTAATCGTCTGTACTAATTCCTTTATTAATTACGTTCTTCGCGATACGAGTAAACCGTTCTTATTTCAGATGAAGTAAAAAGACTTTGCGAAAAGGAATTAAAAAGTATATTTTTCCATTAGCTAAAGCATCAGGAATTCAACGACTGTTTTGTACGAGGATTACATAGTTGTGTTTATTCTTTCGATCAATGTGCAAGCGATATAATCTGAAAGGTAAAACTATAAAGTTTATTTATACATAAAGTTTAATGTAAAATATAAAATCTGTACATACAAATGATATATTTTTAATATATTTAAAGTAACGTTAATCGATAAGTTCGTCGTCTGTGTCTTTCTTCTTGTGAACAATATTCGAGAACTTTTTTAATTTCGCCACAAAGAATCCGTCCATATTGTGTACGTGAGGGTAAAATCGTTTCGTGAGTTTCAACGATGGATGGTATCTGTACTGTCTGTAGCTCGTAAAACCTTCGGCCCCGAATTCCAGGCCGGTCGGCACTAGTTTAACGTCCCGTTTCTTAAGGGCATAATTGACGACGCATTCGTTCTCTTCCGGCAAAACTGAACACGTAGAATAAACGATGATACCGCCAGATTCCGATCGCGCGTTCGTACAATCGATAGCTGCTAAAAGCAAATCCCTTTGCAACGTGCAGCAACGCTGTATGTCTATCTCGTCTTTATTTGTTTTGACGCTCGGATCCTTCGAAACGACGCCGGTGCCCGTGCACGGTGCATCTAATAACACTCTATCGAAACCTTTGATCACCTGCAAATCAATTAATCAGAACAATTATTATATCACACGTTTCGCCTTCAATTTATTTTTTTACCGATGGTATCTTCCGTCCGTCATAAGTACAGATCACGGAATTCACAATTCCGAGTCTGTGAAAATTCCCGACGACTGCCTTTATCCTGTCTTCGTTTACGTCGTTGGAGAAAAGTACTCCCGTGTTTTTCATCAACGCCGCGATATGCGACGACTTTCCGCCAGGCGCGGCGCACATGTCCAGAATTCTTTCGTTTTCTTTCGGCTCCAGAGCCATAACCGGTAAGAAGCTAGATGCACCTTGCAGAATGTAATGTCCCGCTAAATACTCGGGAGTCGCGCCCATAGGTACTTGCGACGAATAAACCACTAGCCCAACTTTTGTCCATTTACCGATAGGATCTAAATTGACACCCCTATTAATTAAAGCCTCTGCTAAATCTCGACGACGCGTTTTCAATGTGTTCGTCCGTAGTGTCATAGGTCGCTGAACTTCACTGGCTTCTAGAAATTCCATCAGCTCGTCTAATGGAAATATTTGCATCAATCTCTCCATCAAGAAATTATTGTAACTGTAGTACGTGCATAAATCCTGTCTAAGTAGATTCATGTATTCCGAACGTGACCTGAAATTAAATCAAATATAAGAATTCCGCGAAGTATATTACGTCCAGTAAACACACCTCTTCTCATCACGCAATCTTTTGAAATCAGATAATATCATGACTACGTCCTTTATTCGTTGTTGCACATCTTTTAAATTAGTCATGTCTGCGAGTTCTTCCTTGGTTGGAAACGTGAAAACGCATTGCTGCAAAGTCATATCGTGCATTTCCTCCTCCGCCAACTTTCTGAAATGAAAAAATAAATTAAAGTAAGAATACAGAGTTTTCAAATCAAATGAGCAAGCGATACGTACTGTTCTTTCTCCTGTTTCCTCTTCAATCTTTTATTCGCCTTTTCTATCGGTAGCAAATTGTCTCCGTCGTCCACGTCACTATTCTCCTCTTTATCTTGATCAGTCTCCTCATTGTCCATTTCCTCACTTTGTTCAGACTCATCGGAATCATATTCCTTGTCATTTTCAACATCTTCATCCTCTGTTTCACTTTCGAGCAATTTCATTTTCGAATCCTTCTGTTCTTCCAAAATTTCCTCTTCACTGTCCAACTGCATCTCAGTGTCATCATTGTCTGAAGATCCATTTTCAACCGGTTTCTTTTTCTTCTTCGACTTCTTCGAAACAACTTTTACATTCTGACACAGAAGAAATATTTAAAACGGAATCATTACATACAAGACCTGATTGTTAGGAACTTACATTTTCATTCATAACATCTTCTACATCCTTTGTCTTTTGTAACTTCTTCAATTTTTCATTTAGATTCTGTTTCTTTAACAGCCTCTTCTTAGCACGTTGCTTCTGCCTGTGGCTCAATTGTTTCTCCTCCTTCACTGAGAGTTTCGCCAAGTTTACATTACGTTTTACACGTTTTGTTTAAGTAGAAAAAAATTGCTTATACCTAATACTCCCTTTGGAAACGTAGGTTCTCCCTGCTTCTTAGCTTTCTTTCCTCCTTTTTTCTTACTCGGAGCAACTGTCCCGTCAAATTTCGCTTTCCGTCCCATTTTTTAATTATTCAAAGAAATTTATAGTCTTTACGTCGATGTAAAAGTTCGCTAAAATAACGAATCTACATAAAACTTCCACATTTCCTGCTAAAATGAATGCTAAAAGTATCTATTCTTTGCGGAGAACACTCGACTTTTAACCTACTCTCTGTCTGTTGTATACAGAACCACGTGTCTTCGCTTTTAACTTACGTATCAGAATTATCCAGGTATATTCATTTACTTAATTCATACAACTTGTGATACATGAACAGACGTCCGTAAATTAAATTAGAAAGACAACAATTAAATACAATTAAACGACAACTCAAATCTTTCTATTAGACAAGTACAGGATACATATATACAACAAGGTATTCGTGCAAGGTATAATGTAATATAATAAGATCTTTATTGGACTATTTATTTTATACGACGACACGAAGGAATTGGCATGGAAATAAAACTGAGGACCTAGATAAAAAGTATAACACTTCCTTTATTAGTTATTAACAATTTGATGGAAAAGATTTTGCCTTTGAAATATTGGCGCAATCTCTGTGTCGAAACCATAGAATCAACAATTGCCAAACAGTGTACAGGAGAATACGGATTTTTCCCAAACGGATTTTTCCGATTAGTGAAATTTTCTCGTTACAATAATTAAAACGTACGTGGTGTCAAGTGGAATATTGATTCGTTTATTTGTCAGTTAATCGGAACGGTATATAGTATCGCTGGTGCATGGACATGGATAGGAAATATAGGAATATCGTGTAACACAATAGATAGAAAATTGGCAAAGCTATCTTCGTCAGGATTTATATCGGAACAAACTGTTTTCTAAATAAACGGATCGTTCTGTTAATAATAGAGTGTAAGTTTACGCGAAGTAAAACAAGTCAATTGACCTACGATACAATCGAAAGGATGGACGATCGATAAAGGCTGTAAATCCGGAAACGGTCCGCGAGAAAAAAGCCGATGATTGTTTCGTTAAACGGATTTATTTAGCCTGGTGCACGGGGGAACCGCCGATAATTTCGGTCTGCATCTCGAGGCGAATATTCCAGCAGGTGATTTTTGCTGTTGATTAACGCCATGTCCGACGATGGACCAATCAGCTGCTTGGTAAACCGCCGTAAACCTCGAATCTGTCCGCAGACGAATGACAACAAAAGGGACTGATAGATAGAAGTCTTTTAGCGCGCGAGACAGCGGATTTTTTCACGGCTCCGCACGGAGAATTGCGGTTTTTTCCGTTCTGTTGCACGCCGCGAAGTAACTTCGCCTTGGTCGTGGTGAAAGTGTCGAGGAATATGAAGAGAAGAAATGTCGAGTGCGGTAAGCTTCGGAGGCCCTTGAAACGCAACAAGCTCACCGAGGGGATCTACGGAAGGTAAATTTTCGCCGCCATATGTCTTTGCATCGGGACGAGCGATTTTAAAAATAACCAGAAATTCGACCGGCGAGTATGTTTCGCGACCGCTATATCAATCGGTCGGCCGTCCATCGTTCTTCCCGATCGACGAACCGTCAAAGGTCGTCGCGATGCGTTATGTCAGCCGCGGGGCCAGAACCGCTGCCGCAGCTTGACGTTTGTTAAAACCTCGAATATGCGTGCTTGTTTCTTTTTACGAGGCCCACCTCGTCCTCGTTCCCCCCGGCTCGTGTTACATCTCGTTATCTAACGCGCGACGCGGCGGTCCTCCAAAATATTTTGTTTTCGAACCGACGTAGAACGTAATTTCTAACACAGGACGTGCCTGTTCATACATCAATTCGATTCTGCGAGGGCGATTAATAACGATACGTTTCATTTCAGTACTTTACTTTATCTCAAATTTCTTCTACTATGGGCCGTGGTAATTTTCGCAGACTTCATTTTAGAATTCCGTTTTGAATTTCTGTGGCCGTTTTGGCTGCTCCTAAGAAGCGTTTACGATTCTTTTAAATATCAAGGCTTGGTGAGTAAGAAATCAACCGATTCGATGAACTCTATGAAGCATCGTTAATTAACTTGAACTGTTACACTTTCAGGCCTTCTCCGTATTTTTTATTTGCATTGCTCTTACGTCAGATATGATTTGTTTCTTCTTCATACCAGTACATTGGTTGTTTTTCGCTGCCAGCACTTACGTTTGGGTACAATACGTTTGGCACACAGGTAAATAGGAACATTGGAATCGCTCGCATCACTCGTTACAGTGAAACTGATATAATCATGTTCTGTACGAAACAGATAAAGGTGTGTGCCTGCCAACTGTGATGCTATGGTTATTATTCCTATACATAGAAGCAGCAGTTCGATTAAGGGATTTACGGCATATGCCCTTCCACTTGGATCTCTGTAGACCGTTTGCAGCACACTGGTACATATTTTCTCAACATTTCTAAAACATTAGCACACCATTATGCATCCATTACAGCTATCGTTTTGTTTTCAGCATTGGTTACCCTGTAGTTACGTTAGGTTTCGGTTTTAAAAGCTACATTGGCTACAGAATGAGACAGGTAAATTCACGATAAATGTACGACTACGATTTAGAGCCCGACGATTCTTACGCTTGCTTGCTTTTTCTCCTCTTCAGAGAAAGCAGAAAGATGTAGCGAAAGAAAACGAATTCTATCTACAACTACTGCAGCAAGCACTGCCTCTAGAGCAACAAGCCTCTACTACGATGCAACCGATACCAGTTCCGCCACAGACGCATATTACCACGTCGTTGGAGCAACATGTTAAATCGCAGAATAACAAACTAAATTCGCAGTGCAATCCAAGTCCCGAAAAGAGTAGAGGTAGTTTGTATTTATTTGCATATACATTTCACGTCTCCGTACGACTGCGTTTGAAACGATGTTTGTTGGTTTTCTAGGAAACGGTAATAATTCCGTGGAGACTGGTGTACAGAACGGTAGTTTGCATATAGGTACGCAAATCACATCGCAAAACCAAAACGTAACGACGAAAAATAATCACAGAAAGTCGTTGGACAAAGGCGAGAAGCAAGAGGAACAACACAATAAGCATAATGTGACGAACGTGTCTCAGTCGGATAAGAACGATAAGAGATTTATACATACAAATGGGAATACTGTTAATCATAGTGATATGCAGTTCATCGAAAGAGTCGGGTGAGTTCCGCGCACGAGTCCTTTGATCGACGCAGCGATCAAGGATCGTTCTTTACGAATCTGAATTACAGATCTGTAAACGATTTCGATGCGAACGAGGTGGAGAAAGACAAGATCGTCAAAGGTGGGAACTGTGGACACACCGCGGTCAAATCGCAGACGAACGGTTCCGTGACAGGGAAATGGAGCAACATAAAAGAGAATAGGGAATCGTCGTCCACGGTTAATACTCAACGCGAGCGGAAAGCGCGTCAGGTGAAAGCCACGGCTGATAACATAGCCGAACAGCAAAAACAGCAAGACGAATATTGTCAAAGGTACAATCCAATGATGATGAGAGATGTTTATCTATTACGAATGTTTCCGTGGCGTTACACAAGATATCTTCGTGCATATAGTGTAATATAATATCATTTAAATAGGTTACTGATGTGTCGCAGGCTCGAAGCTGACGTGAAGAGATTGAAGTCGGATCTGCAGTCCAGTCGACAACTGGAACAAGAGCTTCGCTCACAGATAACCACTCTGCAGAATGGAGAACGCCAGGCTAAGGGCGATATACAGCAGCTCCAACACGACAACGATCAGTTGCAGAGCAAGTATGTATACATGACTTGACAAGAGGAGCGTGGAGAGCTTACGAAAATGACTCTTAACAGGTTACACGGGCTGGTAACGGCTCGTCAATTAGACAAACAGACGATGTCGTCGTTGGAGAAACGAATCGCGGAGGAGCGGAAACAACGCACCGCTTGCGAGGCGTCTTTGGTTACCGAGAGGCGAGCGCGGCGTGCCGCGGAGGAGGCTCGTTCTGCGATTCCACCTCCGCCGCCGCCGCTTATTAGACAAGAATGTACAGATAGTTGTAAAAGTCGCAGAACACAAATGGAACAGGATCTCAAAAGCTTGCGACGAGAGCTCAAGACGAAAGAGGAAAGGTGAACATCTTAGACTGATCGTTGGTTATACAATTATGCGTTGGTGTTACACGTCAAACTGTCGATGTGTTCGCAGATGCAACGCGCTAGAAAAAGATGCGAGTCGTTGCAAGGAGACTCATAAAGAATCTGAAATTCTACTCGGCGCGCTGAATGCGCTGCAAGATAAGACCGCGCATTTGGAGGACAGTCTGAGCGCGGAGACACGCATAAAGCTTGACTTGTTCTCCGCGCTCGGTGAGGCCAAACGGCAACTAGAAATCAGAGAAAGTAAGTAAACCGAAAATTGACGATTTATTTATCGGAGAACGCGTTTGCTAGCTGTTCGGTATCGAAATTAGACGCAAAGTGAAACACGCGTGTCTGAGGTTTTAATGAAATGATCGACGCAAGGTATTTATGTGTTACATTAATTTGTGTTTAATCAGGTTTAATTAGATCTCAAGAAAAGGAAATTGAAATGCTAAAAGCAAAAATAGCCCAAGATTTAGCTGTGATGCCACAAGACACGTTTGGACCTGCGCCAACCTGCGCGACATCGAAGCTTCGATTGAATAACGAAGTGCGAGTCGCATGTACAAAAATACGTTCAAACGAAAGCCCCTGTCCAGGGTGTACAGTGTCGAATTTGGATCCAAATGCGACAGCTTACACGCCCAAGAACTCCCTGATAGCGTCTACCGAAGCTTGAACGAACAGCAATCCTTTGGCCATCTCGTACGGTTTCACAGAAATTGGATCTATATATATATATATATATAAATATTACACGAACATGTTTCAGTCCGTTTCTCGATGGAAGTTTATAAAACGTTTCAGTTTTACGCGTGTGACGATTAATTGCTCGTTTTACTAAAATCGAACCATCACTTTTAACACACATGGACGTAAACATGATTTTCCGGGAGACACGCGACAGACCGATTTCAATTCGATGTAATATTCCTTTTCACTCGAAACGTAACACTGTTTGCTTCAAACAAATGACTCGTGAGATGTTTTCTAATAGAAAATTATTTCTTCTAAACGTCTTCCTTGGGAGGCTTCTAGAAACATGTTTTATATCGTACTTGTCACCTTGAATACGTTATTAATTACTTATGACCATATGGGGCGTGACTAATGTCGTATTAGAAAAGAAACACTATGTAAAAATTAGTTACGTTTGTTTAAACGTGCTGTAGGGCGATCCAACAGTCGCGTAGTTTGTTTGCCGTTTTGGTACTTACGTTAGTTATAAATCTGTTGATTGTTAGCGTTCATTCGATTTCAAATGGGGCACAGTAAAATCTGGATCGCCTGGATCGATCGGGACAACAGATGAAGAATTTACAATTTGATTCGGCGAAGGAGTAATGGCATAATTTCGATCAATTCGATGAGATATTATAAACCGGTGGTACTCTTGATCCTCTTACAGCATACGCCTAAATCTGACGACTTGTTATAGACACAAATCTAACTCAAGTCGTGATCCGAAGCTAGTCCAGCATACAAACTGTATTAAATGTCTTTTTGGCGAAGCAAAGCCATTTTAAGTCATGTGATCATCCAAAACCAGCCATTAATATTACACTGAAAAACCTGCCGTTATCATTCGAGAGGATCAATGTAACTAAAGGAAGCATCGTTTTTTAAATGATAACCAAACGCGTGTTGATACTCTCTCATTTCTCTACGTTCTTTTTTTATATATATTTTGTAAACTTCAGTAATCGTTTTTAGTTTAGTGATTGCGTATTGGCTTTCGAACGGTCTATGAAAGGAGTTTCGATCCGCTTCGTAATATTTCGAAACGTGTACAGTGATAGATAGAAATTTTGTAAGAAACGAGGAAGAATAAGACATTGAAATTAGATATATCGTAATTGCTAACAGACGGTGTTAGATCTATTAGCTCTCCGGCTCATTTAATGAGTAGCAACTCGTAAGCGTTTAGATAGTTTAAGCGATTTTTATAAATTCAAGTTCTAATTAGTTCGCAAACAATTAAGTGACGATTCGCCCCCAAACGTCTTCCTTTTGATAAAAACGCGTTGAATTTAATTGGCGTTCCTTTCGACGGTACGATTTATAGTAAATCTGTGGCCACCGCTGGAAGGCGAAACGTTTTATACCCGTGTTTTGTATATTTCATTTCTACGTTTAACGATTTCTCTCTCTCTCTCTCTCTCTCTCCTTTTTTTATAACATTTAGGGTAAACGTATTTACCACTGAAGAACGCGCACGTATGAGAATTAACGCTTGAATATTTCCTAGATTTACTTTGTTCGATTTCGTTCGATAGACTAATGTTAGAATACGAATGCATCACAATTCATTTCGAGACGCAATCGTTCATTTAACGAAAGACACAATTCTTCTATGCTTCTTAATCCGCAAGAAAGCCAGTACCTGCTTGCTTCAATGAACGATTAACGACTGGTTGATTATATCATAAAGATCATTCTTCCATAATTGTATATATAAAGCACTGTCATGACAATTATAATTAATAGCATAGAGGATCATGACCAACTAGTCAAATGGAATTCTATAAGCACAAATATTTATTAGATATCTAATATTCGTTTGATATTTCCGCCCTTACACGAATGAAAAGCAATAACAATTACATTTGATTTACGTTAATTGAACCTCGAATGTTATTACGTTCGCAGTAATTTATTGGATGATCCACGTACTGAATGTGTAATCGCAGAATGTTAATGCACAACGCGTACTTTTTACGGGTATTTCTCGATTTACACGATGATTGTATTATCAAACGACACACTGTTTCTGTTTCTTCCCGAACTGACGTTCATTTCACACGATTCCCGAAGAGAGACAAGCAGGAAATTAAAAGCATATCAATGCAAGAGTCGTGTAAAAGAGGAAACCTTCGTTTCGTTATTTCTCTTTAAACAAATTTAGCTCTCTGAACAATGCTGATCGTTTTTTTAAACAAGCATACGCATTCATCGTTATTATCAATTGAAACATTGTGGAACGTTTGCTTGAAAACCGACGTAGATTACTTGCTGACCCTGCGAGACCATCTGACTGGTATGGGAAATTAGTTTTGCGCTTAAAATTAATTTCGTCCGTTTTTTGTTAATACCGATCGGACTTGTGTCTATGTCAACTTGTATCATTATGTGCATAAGCCCTTATCATGTAACGGAACAGTGTAAATAATTACTTAAAATAGACTAAAACGCAAACGAGAAAAATTACTGAAAATTGTTTGGGCACTTGCGTAGCATAGTCAAAGCGTTCGACGAAAGATATAATTTATTAGATACGATAGTTCGCTTCACTTGACTCATTTATGATCATTTTCCGACGAACCGGTAGAAATTATTTATATTCACAGACATCCTGTATATTGCTATTTCACGTTATCTGCGAAGCAGTGTCAGTATTACGACGAGAAATTAAATAGACTGGAACGCATCATCTCATAAACGTATGTAAACGATAGAAATGATCATCGCGCGAAGAGAGAACATAAATGGGTTAATTTAATTAAGACGAGTGTAAAAGGATTGAGAAAGGGATGCGTGATTTCGCCCGACAAGTTCATGTTAAGTACCTGATCAGGAATCGTCATCACAATTGCGGCTAATATACTTATCATGGATTTAATTCCATTATAAAAGGCTGTCTTCTTTTCTCGCTATTTAACTAATTCGTTTATATTGAGTCAATGTGATATATTTTATAGGCGCACAGACGGAAAACGCATTCGTTCAGCCTCTCTAATATAGACTTCTCGGTATTTTCAAAATAACTCTGTTCTATTACTCACGGCAGGAAAGTAAATGGGAGTGAATCGACGATCGTACTTCGATAGTTACACTTAAGACGTTGCTGTAAATATGTATGTATCTTTTCATACAAGCCAAATAATTAGGCGATTATTTATGTTAGCGTTAACGCAGACACGTACTATCAAGCCAAATTTTAATCGAGTCCAATTGTTTGTCTCTATTCGAAGAGGTATATTAAATTTATTCCACGATTCGTGGCTAAAATTTTTCGGTGGATTGTTCAATTCACTCGAATTACAAAATTTTATGGGTGAAATAAATAATTTATATGTTTCAATGCACGTGGACAGAGTTTGTTAACTGTCAGTGTATTTACGAGGCATAATACGATTAGGAGATTGTTGAAATTTGTTAGGGAACGAAGGAGAGGGCTTGAATCTTATTGAAAACTCGATCTTCTTCCAAGACTTGTAATTCGTATCATGAATGAGAACGAGTGTACTCTTGGTTTCTCGCGTGAATCTCTCGAAGGTGATTGCTTTTTTAACTCTGCGTGCTACATCATTAAATACGTACTTAAAACATGTTCGTAGATTATTTTAACACACGATCGAATCGTATTTACCAGTGTTTGATGTACAGACTGTTTTTATTACATGCATATATATTTTTGTTATCTATCGCTACGGTTTCGGTTAACTGACGCGCAGTCTACCATTCATTTCTAACTCTATCTTAAGTAATTTTATAACGATTATTAACTGCGTTTCTATACTAACTCTGTTCGAAATCAGAAGAGCGTTTTCGCTCGCCTTCTCTCGCCTGATTTAGCGTTAAGGTAGCATCGAAAAGTCTAGAGTTTTGATCTCGGAAATGTGATGACAATGCACGCAAATGCCCTGTTCATTTTCCGCGCTCGCATAAGAAAAAAAAGAAGTCTCATTTTTAATCTCCTTAGGGATGTCAGTTTCGTTTTTAAAAGAGTGGCACGATTCGATCGTGAATACGTACGTTTCGTTTGAACGTTTTATTGTTAGAAACAGTGTTTAGACGATTATGTTCGTTCGCGAGATTTTCATCTTGAGATCGACGTCCCTAATGGAAATGAACGCATCCGGCATTACCGAAATTCGTCTAGTCTGTATGAATGTGCGTAGTTCGTTAAGTGTAACGTGAGCCGAACAATTTCTACGATTTATTTGAAACGGACTCAAGCAAAGAACATCTTCCTGTTTCTCGCATAAAGAACACTTGAACAACGGTGAAACTTAGTTTTTACGTGATTTCTGTGTGACGAATGTAAGTACATAAACATGGTTGTTACTATTCTTTTTTCAATTCGTGTGTGTATACTTTTTTTATGTAATTATATACATTATACGCTCCGATCTCGGAAGTAGATTTTTCTACATTTTTGTCGACGGCTCAATCGAACATTTTTTTTATTTTCCCTTCTTTCGTTCAGGTCGAATGGTGCGCACGATGTTTCGTCGGAGCTAGGCGTTTCGATAACTAATTCTTTGAGTTTTTAAATATTTCTTTCTGTTCGAACAACAATAAATCCTATAATAAGCGTTTACTCTTCCAAATAAAACGCCCGCCGTAGTGTCCCGCATTATTCTTGCATGCACGACCTCGGGATATTCTGTCGTCCCAATTTCGTGATCAAATTTCGATTACCTTGATTCCGGCACAGTGGATTAAAATTCGGACACGTATTCGTGCATATTTAAAGACTCAAATGTTTCACGATATTTTCATACGTAATAAAGTGTAATATTTTAGTATGCATAAAAGGAAACGTACTATCCCGATCTTGTTGCAGTTTCTTTGAGAACTAATTCTACTCTATTTCCTTTACGCTATAAGATTCGAAAGGTGAAAATAATGTGGAAGGAAAAAATAGGTACTTCTTGGTATTAGTACTTAATGACTTTTCATTGTGTACTGTGTACCGCCATTTATACGATAGAAATATTTATTAAAATAAATATTGTAAAATGACACGTGTATAATTTATATATTACGATTAATACGATTAAATTGTCGCGTGTACATACGAACCGTCGCTGAATATTCTACCTCACCTCGTCAACTATTTAATGTAAATCTACGAAACAAGGTTTCGCGGTGTAAAAAAATAAGGGCAAAAAATAAGGACATGAGTAGTGTCAGGCCAGTGAAACAGTTCCTGCCCAATTTTTAAAATCACGCATGAACCGTTGTACTGATACGTCCTTTATTATAAAGAAACAGTCAATGACATCGAGATCTTTGATCGAGAACGAAACGTTTAATTGAACTCAGTCCTCCGTACTTTTCGACTTCGCCTCGCTTATTACTCCTTCCTCTACAAATTTCCTATGCAACGGATCACCCTCGACAACCGCGTACGAAAGTACAGCTTTTGTATAATAATCGGGCATCAGCTCGATGTTTCTTATAACTGTAGACAAAAGATGTGCCCTTTCTACGTATATACCTGTAAAGAGACGTAAAAATCAGGTACAGAATATGGTTCACAGAAGCATTCGTAGCATACCTGGAGCTTCGAACATTAAATACACAAAGTGGACGTGAAGATAATAATAGGAGGGTTGATAGTGAAAGTAGACTCGCAGCTGGGAAGCTGGAATGTTGAACTTCTTCACGATCGCGGCAGTCCCTGCGTCTCTTATATTTTTTAACAACGGTAAATGCGAATCATTCAATTCTCTTATTGATCGAATGTTTTGAAACGGGAGTGCTATTAAATATAAACTGTTCGATTGTCCATCCCATTTCAAATCGTGCACCATTATAAATCCAGTCTTCTTATCCTCGTCCTCATAAACGATTCTATCCTGTTCTGCCTTGTGTTCTAAAATATTGTTTATCCACTGGAAGGAAGAATGAAAGTTGTTATAAAAATAAAAGCCAAAGCTTTGATCATACGTACGTCTATCGAAAAGCTGCTTGACTCCAAATACGGGATAGTAATCTTTTGGTAAAGCTCGTACGTTTCATCCACGATATACATCTGTTTCCGACGGAATTTTTCGATATGCTTTTCCGTCGCTGGATGCACTATCGTCACGTTTATACCTTGAAAATATTTACAACGATAAAAAAGAGGGAATGAATACGGAGGTCAAGAAATCAGGCGGGAGAATCTACCGTTCTGTTTTTTAACCGGGAAGCATTCATAATTCCCGTAAAGATCATTGGTATAAAGTTTCTTCAGAGATACGTCGTCGTTGAAGAACTCTTGCAAAGCTTGCTCGTCGTCTGGGAAATTCTGTTTCTCGAGTACAATGACCGCCGGTCCTTCGTAACCTTTGAACTCGCCTTCTAGACATATCTGTTTCCTCGTACTGTTATTTTGCAGTATTTTTCTCGGTTTGAACAGAGCCGATGAGAGTACCGGCGCGTGTACGCTGTTCGAATTCGTCGACGGATTTTCTGACTCGATTTTCACTTTCTTCGCGGCGGGACACTCGTCCAAACCGTTGACGCGAGACTCTTCGGCCATTCTTAAGGTACTTTCCAAACGATTCTATAGTATTGTTGAATTAGAAATCGTATTTATTTTCAAATGAAAGAGTCTCGATCGACGATCTTTTATCCCGTCCCGATAACAACGGCAACAATTAATTAGGAACCGCTGTTAGGTTACACGAAAAACGTGCTCTACCGGTTTTTAGCAACGAGCTTGTAACGGAGAGAACGTTATTCGTATTATTTATTTCTAATCACAAGAATCATAGTTTATTAAATAAAATTCGCGTATAGATTTAGTTCGCCAATAACATTCGTATAACTTGTTGTAGTATAGAGTCCGCAAATTGAGTACGACTGCTCTCACAGCACAGCTGCTATACATAGGATGTATAAGATCCGAACACAGTGGCCAAGTTCCAAGGCGAAGGCTATCCTTTCGGTAACCTTTGCGTCAATATAAAGTAGAACGTTACAAACCGAACGACTGTTACGTGGACTACCACGAGAGGTTTAATAACGATGCTACAAGTAGATGACAAGAAGGTAAAGAATTTATTAGCCCATCCATTTCATCCGAAAACCTTATCTGACACATCAATCGTTCTCCTTGACTTATTTGACGTTTCCCTCTTCCGCATTAGTACTCACATTCAAATTTGACAAAGAGTGTGTCCTAACATCTTGTTCTCTCATCAATTCTGTTCTTATTACGCGGTGCTCTAAGGTTATGAGCAATCCCCAGTTGCTTTCTTTACATTACGTATTTAATAGAATAATTATATCTGATTTTATCCCATTCTTTCATAATCATATGTCTGATAGATGTGCAAATACTAATCGTACATTTATTGGGAAAAAGTATAAGAATTAATCAGATGTATATAGATATTATATGAATTGTACGTAATTTGCATGTATATATGATTATTCTTAGAATAGAATGTTATTTGTGATCATTGCTCGCGAGTTCTAAAAGTGTGAGCAGTTATGTTAGAATTTTGAATCCTTCAGTACGATTTAAATGACAAACGGTTTTGGGGAATAGAGAAATGTAAATACGTCACCGAGGAGATATTATTAAACAGTGGCAATGCCCGTGTAATCGTTGGGACAACGAATGGGGCCCAACGGGATTTAAAATTCACAATCAGTGGGTGATTACTGTTTTAGGTGGAGTTAGAAGGAAATTGCATAGGACCTCTCTTGTATCTGGCAACTGTTCTATTTTTTATTTCTATAGGAACGTATTTTAAAGGGCATTAAAAATTGTCGAATTTTTCCTACGACACAAAGTCCCATAAAGCTGTCCTCCTGAGTAATCTCTCCTCGGTGTGATTACTGTAATTCATTAATCGGTCGACCGTAATTAAGAATCCATGGATATGAAACGGTGGCCTGCTGATAAATCGCTATTTCTCCTTGCGAGACATTTATTACGTAAGATTATGTGGGATAGTCTGCGGTCACGGTAAAGGCTTATTTTTGTAAACATAAACGTCTATCTCCTCTGGCGCTAATATATGTACTGTAACGTATTTCTTGATAGATCAACAAGATATGACGATACAAATTATTCAACGATCTGCCTAACTGTAGAGTAATCAGAATTTTTCAAATCCACCGATAACCTTCTGATTCACGATGGTTTATTCCTTTTGGAAAGTTTGCACGCAACGAGATTTATCTCGTCAAATGATAACCCTGCGAATCTTTTTATCTCGGCCCTTCTCTTCACGTTTTATTCACAATTCGTATTTAATTTTTTCTACGAATTAATTAGATGTTCGAACGTCGTCCCAGGTATAGTCAAAGTTAAACGATCGAGTAAGGCGCAGTTATACCGAAATGCAAATTATTCCATTAGTTGGCAATTCTCTGCATATTCTTGCGTAATTTATTGCGTATTTATCGAATCTATTATCTCGCTTCCATAGTTGTATCAGCGAAAAAACAAAATGCTATCTCGTGCAAGAACGTTAGGCTCTCGATCACCGACGATTAATATATAATCATCGTTCGGTGTCGCATTTAATATCCGAGACAGAAACTTTATACACTAAAATAGTATTTGGGGACTGTCGGCTTTTTCTGTTACGAAGCAAAGTCGCGACGCTGATGACCGATTGTGGGTGTAATGACGTTCACTGATACCAGGGAGATAGACGGTAGAAAATGATATGTAAAACGTTTATGTACTCGTTTTAATGAGATACCATTGACATACAATCGAGCCGAATCGAATTATTCCATTGCCCGACGAGCGTCACGGTTTAGGCTCGCGTAATCGGTTTGCATGCATCATCTTACTGTCCCCCAGGAAGAACGATCTTTTTTCAGATGAAAAGAAATGTACATTCTGGACCTGTCAGGCTATACCATATCGAATTTATTGAAATCTTACCGAGGCAAAAGTCAGTCGGTCTCCCTCTGCTATTTTAAACTGACCAATGTACGTATCACCGTTCTTTTTTATCTCTGCAGAATGCAAAAATCTAATCGAAACTGCAGAATTGAAAAATTGGCAATCATCATTGATAAGACGAAGGTCGGCGGCCCGATAACAATGACAAGGACTGATATAATTTATTCACATTCGTTAATCGCCTGTTTGTATCTAAAGCGATTTATTCGTTACGATCCAAAGCGGTCTTAGCATCATGGGACATAGCAATGATTGAAAGTACTCAAGTATCGAATGCGAATCTGGATATCAGATCGTCGGTGCGTTGGACCGTTCACGTTATCTCTGGGACTGTACGGCACATATCGCAAAAGCCACGACGTTCAAACTGTACCGCAGGTTTGACACATCCGCGGTCGTCGAGACGTTAACTCGCCGTCGATTCTCGCGCCGGGGCTCAGTCGTACGTCGTACGCCTATTCGAGAATTAACACAATCGTTCAAGCGACCGTGATAGTTGCCGCGCTTTCGTACTTGTTCGTGTGTCTTTTAATATTACGATAATGGATTTATTGATGAAAGTAAGTCACCGGTGCGGAGCAAAAAGATAGGGAGTGCTTTCTTTATTTCTCTTTTATTTATTCTATGTGCACGCGGCGTACGTGCATCGTCGCGTGGCACAATTTATATAACTTCAATTTAACTGCAACGACGATGTTACACACGCGAATTGAGAGATTCTTGTGAACTGTCTGATCGACGTAACATGGGAAAATCGAATCGAATGAACGTACTTTTTCTAACGAATCGGTTTGAGTTATTCAAATGTATCTGGTTCGAGGGAAGTACTTTCTCCGGTTCGGTTTTCCTCGGTTCTGTACTTTGAAACAGAAATCAGTGCCAAGGATGTATACTTAATTTCAACGAGTAACGATGTCTATTTTTTTTACCAAGAATTTGAATCGAATACGAATTTTTGTTTCAAGGTACAAGCATACATCATATAAACATTTTTTTGGGTGTATGGAAGCTTCGTCCTGTTTGAATTTCAACAATTCATAATTTGAATCTGCATATCGCTTGAGAAGTGATAATTTCAGTTTATCTATTTGTTATCAGTATAATTAATAAACAAAATGAGAAGTCATGATCGCTAGAACATTAGCGTATTTAAACGATGGTCGATGCAGGTATATATATTAGTACGCGATGATCAACGAGCATTGATAGATTTAACGTTCCGTCGACTCGCGCTTTTTGAATTACACCGAACTTAAAGAAATTATTGTTATACGTCGTTTAATACCATTTAAGTACGGCCGCGTTACATCATTGTAGTTCGTATCGCTCGTTTGTCATCGTGGTTACGTTATTAAAAGAAACCAGTGGAATCGTGCTTGTCACGATTATTATATCTATCTATCCGATGAGTTCTATCGCGCATTAATTTTTGTTTTCCTCTGCTACTCCTCGTTACATAATTTCAATTCAAAAGATCGGATCCTATCGTGCAGATTTTCATCCGACTCACCGGTGGTTCTTAATGTCCTGTAAAAGAAGATCGGCTTCCAGTTTCATTGACTCGGAGAAAAGATAAACTGATCTTGAGCGGCATTGAGCCTTTTTTAAACAAGGGATCATTCGAGCTTTAAGGAAATTAATTAACGGCTTATTCCACTTATCTTATCGTTCTCTCTGTAAACTGGAACTTCTTTCAATTAGGAATTAATCTCCGGGATTCTTATGCATCGCACTATCATTATTGCGATATTCATTACGCTACATTATTTATGGTCCTCCTTGTACGTTGAACGCTCGTTCCTGATCGAATAAAGTATCGCGTTCATCTCGCATCCTTTTTTGTTTCCTCTTATCAGACAGTTCCGTACTCGATTGATACGTTGAAAAAAGAAAAGAAAAGAACGAACCACGATCGAGAAACAAAAAAGTTACGTGGAATCGCGGTTCTATTCAAAAAGTTCAAAACCGACCCGCTTCTCCTTATCATTTTAACAAACTTTGATTCTTTTTGCTCCCTCTTAACCAATTCCTTCGCGAACAGTATATGGAGTGAATCGAGAGACAGAAAAAACAGAACAAGGGACTATAAATAAATAATTAACAAAATTTAAATAAAACTGACTAAAAATAAGAGAACCGTCCGTACTTCATGCACGATCTTTTGCAATTGGATAGCGGGGCCTGGCCGTTTTTGAAGAGCGAAGGTATTTATCGCCCGGTCCTTTTCCTGAATAAATTCGTAGGCACGTGGTCATCAACGCAGTGCCTCAGATACACAGGCATTCCGCGAGAGGACCAAGAGGGATGCCCTCAACGAGCTGCAAGCCGAGCTCGACAAGCTCGAGGCGACCGCGACCACCCCGCAGATCAAGGACCATGTCCATCGTCAGTCCGAAGGATTCATCGATCTGTTCAAACGTTTCTTGCAAGAGGAAGGCCCGTCACTAGAATGGGATCACATGCAAAAGTTGCCCGAAGATGCGGTAATTAACACAAACACGTTTTTCAAGATTTACTGCGCAATCATTCTGACGATCAATGATTTGCGAGATGCGTGTTTGAGATAGCGCTACTTTTTATGAACGATAAAAATAGAATTGAACGTCTTACGTTTTAGATAAAGGATTACAATTCCTTGCCGACGCCGGAAGAAGCGGAGATGAAAGCCCTTTTGAGCAAGTTGGTAGTCGTTAAACTGAACGGAGGCTTGGGAACGAGCATGGGATGCCATGGACCGAAATCCGTGATAGCAGTACGAAACGGGCTTACATTTCTCGATCTCACCGTACAGCAAATAGAGGTGATTGGAAAATGTGTGGAATGTAATTTCTTCTAATTGTAAGAGGAAAACTAACGTTCTGTTAATTTGTAGTACTTGAACAAAACGTACAACGCGAACGTTCCACTGATTTTAATGAACTCCTTCAACACCGACGATGACACGCAACGAATCATCAGGAAGTACAAGGGAATAGACGTGCATATTCATACGTTCAATCAGAGCTGCTACCCCCGCATCAACAGAGACTCGTTGCTTCCCATCGCGAAACACGCCGATATCCCTAATGATATAGAAGCGTAAGATCGGAACCAAACGATTTTAAATACCGGAGAAAATAATAATGATTGTTTCCAGGTGGTATCCTCCCGGTCACGGAGATTTCTATGAAAGCTTCCGAAACTCTGGTCTGTTGACAAAATTCTTGAAAGAGGTGCGCGGATGAAAATCTTTCATACGTTACGAACGAAATTGTTGAATTATTTTTCTAATGCAGGGTCGCGAGTATTGTTTTATTTCGAACATCGACAATCTGGGTGCCACGGTAGATTTTAAGATTCTTAAATCGCTATTACATAATAAGGAGCCATCGCCTCTCGAGTTCGTTATGGAAGTCACGGACAAAACTCGAGCGGACGTTAAGGTGATGAAACTTTTATTCGCCAATCTTGATAATTAATTAATAGCTATGACGATCGTAGGGTGGGACGTTGATCAAATACGAGGATAAATTGCGTTTGCTTGAGATCGCACAAGTTCCAAAGGACCACGTAGACGATTTCAAATCGGTGAAAACGTTCAAGTTTTTCAACACGAATAACTTGTGGATAAAACTCAGCGGCATGTACTTTTTTACGGATCCTATAACGACCGTTCCCTTTATGCTATTCATTCCTCTTTTCCTATACAGCCATCGAAAGGGTGCTCGAGCAAAACTCTTTGAACATGGAAATCATCGTCAATAATAAAACTTTCGCGAACGGTTTGAACATTATTCAGCTGGAAACTGCTGTAGGAGCTGCGATGAAATCGTTCGATGGAGTTGTCGGTCAGTTGAATCATCGTCGGTCTCAAATACGTTCAATCTCTAATTCTAATGAACTTCTGTAAATAGGTATAAATGTTCCGCGCAGTAGATTCTTACCAGTGAAGAAAACTTCAGATTTGATGTTGGTCATGAGCAATTTGTACACTCTCCGCAACGGCTCGTTGGCAATGAGTTCGCAACGAATGTTCCCTACGACGCCTCTGATCAAATTAGGCGATAATCATTTTGCAAAGGTTTCGTAGACTTTTTTCTACAACTCCCCCAGGATCCTTTCACCTACGGGACGTGATTCGCTGTTCTGTTGCAGGTGGAGGAATTTCTCACCAGATTTCCTTCCATTCCGGACATGTTGGAATTGGATCATTTGACAGTGTCTGGCGATGTCACCTTTGGAAAAGGTGTCACCCTTAAAGGAACCGTGATCATCATCGCGAACCACGGAGAGCGTATCGATCTTCCACCAGGCACTATCTTGGAGAATAAAATAGTCTCCGGCAATCTACGTATCTTGAACCATTAATTAATACGCGGGAATACTAAAGCTTAAGTTATTGGAAAACGTGAAAATCGCGAAGCGATGCATATAGTGTACATTCGTTTAAGGGGTAACACACGTTACTCCTTGACGTCGAAGATAAAATATGTTTTCTAATGAGATGTGCAAGGAAATTTACAATTTGAAAATAAAGATTGTCTTAAATGCGGTGTAACAGAAAATATATTAATTTACGAAAACGACGAGCGTTCTTCATCCTGCGTTCAATCAGCCCGCCCAATCGAATGCCATCTATCTCAGCGGAACAAACGTTTGAAGAATGCCGACAAAAGTTCCGCCTCTCCACCACTGTGCGATTCTGTCCTATGAAAACCATTTGGCGCCAAAAGCAGGCGCAGTCGTTGTCGTGATCGCACGTGTCGACGTTGTATATCGGGATCCGGCGCCGTGCGATACTCTTTCCCGCCACAATCCGCCGCGTTACAAAGTGCCTTGTGTGAATAATTGTGTAAAATTGTCGCTCTTTAATCAGTGAAATGGATCAACCTTCGACCTCGTCTGGATTTCCGAATCCACCGCTGTCTCCGCCGCCGTCTCCACCGTTTATGTGGCCGATTCTGCCGCCTCCGCCGCCTCCACCGCCTCCGCCGCCTCCGCCGCCTCCGCCGGTTCCGCCGGTTCCACCGGGTCCGCCAAAACTGATATCATTTTTTTTAAACGAGTCTCAGAATGTATTAAGATGTTTAATGTGGAGAAACATGGGAATGTTTTTCTACAATTACCGCTTCAACAACGCACAGGTGTTGGAGTCAGTGGTGGAGATAAATCTAGTTCGGAAGAGATACTATAAAGATACGGTAATGAAATTTCTGTAAATTATATCATTATAATAAAATATCTGCGCAAACTTGGACCGTTCACATTTAAACAGAATCCAGTTGAATCCGAATACTGACTTGTCTATATAAAAAAAGGTGTTTAGATCAGTTTATTTCTTCTGAAATATTCTGTTGCTAAGAGGGCGAGTGCTATTTAAATTTTTTCCATAGCAGACAAAACTGTTTTGAACGGTCCACCTTTACATATAGTAAAAAAAACTATCCATCGTTATATATAATAAGAAATATTTAAGCAAGTAACTTTTATTCATCTTTACTTTGTTTCACTCCATCTCTTAGAGCTACGAGCTGCCGTCGGGAGAACGCGATCGGCCGTCGACGTTTTTGATGACGTTCAATGAAAACCAGTAGGGATCGTTCCGACGGGATTGGAACGTGAACGATCGTTTTATAAATTAATTCAAATAATTGTATTTCAGAATGCGAATGGCATCGTCGCACGGGGATCACGATATTTATGTGAACGACGCTCTTCGTGGAACGTTTATTAGGAGGCTCACAGGCCATCCGCGTACTCCTTGGACCGTTGTACTTCATCCTCGCATCGACGACCTTGCGGCTTCCGGATGTCTCGGTGGTGTCGTTAAAATCTGGGACGTGGAAGTGGGTAATTTTATTTAAACTGATAAACAGCAAAAGCATGCATGGTCTTTACATGTGTACTTTCATTTACATGTGAAAATAGTCTGGTGTTGAAATCAACAGTAGAGAATTCGAGCCAGTCATAGCTTCCGTTGCGTTTCATCCATTTCAACAGTTGCTTGTTATAGCGGCAGGGAATGAATTACACTTTTGGGATTGGGAAGATCCCGAACCTATTTTTACTCTAAATACTGGCAAACGTGACCAGAGAGTAAGGTACGTTTTAACGTTTAACGATGAAAATGCAGTACTCTTATCGATCGTAAACTTTCAGATTTGTGGCTTTCGATCGTTTGGGAAGGAAATTAATCACAGCAATTGGAAATCCTATAGTACCCGGCCGTGAACCACCATTGCTTTCCAGGTATATTATTATATACTATTTTTTATATAATCCATTTGATCGAGATTCTCAGTATGTTTTGTTCTTCTGTTAGATGCCTTTTTAGTAGAATCACTTTTCTGAGACAATTACCATCTATAGACGATGAACCAGAGGATCCCGCGAACCCAGTCGTTGCTCAGATAGACGTGCAGGTGAGAAGAGAAAGAGACTTCGTACAGTTTGAGGAGGAAGACGATCCCGATAGTAAGTTCTTTTTAAGACAACAATTTATAAAGAAAGTTCCGTAAAATATATATACGTTCACGTATAAGAGACAGCGGGCTTCGTCGCGTAGCATTAATACAGTTTATACGGAACAAAAAACGTATTTCAATATATTTACGGCAGTAATGTTGTACTTTAGCAATCGATTACCGCGTACAAGTATGGGATTTCACCGAAGGGGAACTACCAGATATCCAAGATAGTAAGTATGCAACTTAAAAGTTACATATCAGTCGTTCGATTTCGTTCACGGAGGACGTCTCATGTTCCAGGCACGAAGAACGTTGTAATACGCGAGTGCAAAGTTTCTAACGACGCCAGTATAGACATTTCTCGCGATGGAAAGAATTTGGCGGCCTGCTTTAATGAGGGTGCAGGTATACTGCTTGGAAAAGTAATTTTAATTGAGCATCGATCACGTTTTTTTCTCTTTCAGGAGTATACAGTCTCGACTGGGAAAATCTAGGAACACAGCTATGTTGGACGAAGATAGAAAGCTGTGTGATTTCGGTGTCGTTTTCACCCACGGAACAACACCTCATAGTGGGTGTAGCGAATGTTCGATACGCCGAGAATTACCTTATGATTTACATTTATAAACTAACAGACGGCATGCCAATAATGACTGGGGATGAACCAAATGTCATACATCACATTCAAAAAGATATGACTTTAATTAAACAACTGCCAGGAAAATCCGACCCGACGAGACCCATGAGCCTCAACTGTGTCAAGTGGGTACCGAGGGCTGGATGGGGCATCGTCTACGGTACTAATCAAGGTCGGATGGCACTTATTCACTGACAAATACTGTCATAATAGTTAAAAAAGTGATGTTTTTTTATATGTTCTGGGAGAATAATTCCGCAACGCGAATGTTCTATCGGGACCAATATTTTATTACTACGCGTCTTTCGAATTAAGCCTCGCAATAGACGCATTTTTATCGTTAACTATTAGGTAACTAAGAATGTTGATACCGACCGATGTTGCCCACCGATGTCTTTTTAGTTTATATGGAAATTTTATTCCCGTTTAGCTTTGATATTATTTTTAGTTTCACACTGATGAAAAGGTGATTTATTCGAGATTCAAGAGTTTTTTTTTAAATGTTTATTTAACAACTCGATCGCAACGATAAAGATTGAAACAACGAAGATGTTATTAGTTTGTATGGAATACACACAGTATTACAATATTTTATAAGTAAATACAAATGAACGTTCATTCCTAATGTCCACTGTTATAAAAATTATCCATCGTCGTACAATAGGCTGTGTAACAATTCGGGTGTCTCCGGTTGTTTCAAACAAAGTGGCACCTTATCTTGCATGTTCGTGGTATATTTGTTCTGCCCTAACTGACCGAGATCTCGGTCCAGTATCGTCTCGATCTCATCATCGATGTACAAAGAATTTTCATACATCTTCGACGCGTACGAGCTGTTCTGCTCCGTCGAATTTATGGTCTCGTTAATCGTATTCTGTAATTCGATCTCGGACATGTTCACCGTTTGGAAATTATTTAACGTTGGTATATCGCAGCCGACCATTTCGTTGGTATAAGCCTGAGCTTGTCCCACGGAATCGGGCATTCGGTGATACTTTGCTTGATGCGCCTTTAAATTCCCGGTCTGCGAGAACGTCTTCAAGCAGAAATTGCAATGATACGGTCTTTCGCCCGTGTGGCACCTCGAGTGCCTTTGCAATTTATACTTGGTAACAAACTGCTTGCCGCAATCGGTGCATGCGAACGAGTTGCCTTCGACTCGCGAAGTTTGCGGGGCCACGGAATGCTGTTCCATGTCCATGTGGAAATTGATCATGTGCGATTTCAACGAGACCTTGTAACGAAACGACTGATGACAGTTTGCACACTGAAACTGTTTCTTACCCTCGTGCCTCTCCTTGTGCTTCATCAAGATCTCCTGTTGGTTGAACGACATTTTACAGATCTGTAAAACGATCATCGAAATAAAATAGAGTCGTCGGTTTGGGACGTCAATTTCATCAATGTACTAACATCGCAGACGTAAGGTCTTTGCCCTGTGTGAATACGTTTGTGCCTATTCAAGTGCGCCTGGCATCTGAAACTTTTCCCGCATATCAGACACGTACATTTACTCGTTCCCTGTTTGTCCAAAGCGTCCTTTGGTATTGCATCGGTTTCCTTCAGTTGACACAGCATATCCTACAAGTAAAACGTAGCTAGAAACAGTCGAGAGTCGCGGTTTAAACATACGCAAGTGATTTTTACTTCCGCAAAGTCGATTTCTAAAGACGGAGCGGCGAGCTGTTTCTGTACGTTCGCCACCATCAAGCAGAACTCGTCGAATATGTAGATTTTCTGCTCGCAATCGATGCAAACGTACTTGGAAAATGCATCTGTATTCGAGATATTAATCACCTACGAAGGAAGGCTTTTAAAACTGGTACCAGACAGATCAGTATAATTCCAGTTACCTCTTTCGAGAAGTATTTGTTAATAATGGACAATAGGACAGTTCCTTTAACCTTGTCCGTAAATAAATCTGTGCCCTGTTGCTTTTCCTTGCCGCAGAGACGACACAGCTTCAGACTCGCCTTGTGCAGCATCATTTTTACTTTATTTCACTTTATTTCGTAACACGATTTCTACGTTAATTAAATCGACCGAGTGTACAGCTTCACGTATATCAATCTCACACCTCGGTGAACATCTCGTCAATTAGAAAATCATTATGTATACGTTTTCCTTTCGATCAATTTCGTACGCTTATAAAAGACAGGAGGAAAAACAGCTGTCAGATGCGGCCACTGTGTTGTGCAGGGGTGGTATAAAAGAAGGAGCAGAGTAGGGGATGGGTTAGTCGGTGCTGTGCAGGCGCCATGAGCGATTCCCTTCATTGATCTTAGTTTTATATTCCTCCTTATTCCTTTTAGATTAAAATCTGAGATTAATCAAAATTCGGACCAAAGATTTACTTTTTACGGCTGGTAGTTCTCGAGAAAACAGCACAGTAAATCAGAACGTATGTGATAGGTGTTTATTTTTACGGGGCAAAAAGGTAGTTACTCCGTGTTTTGTACAATATTTTCTTTTATTTATCCTTAAAAATGATAATATCAAATATAAATACAAATGCATATTCCAAGACATATTCTCTTCGATACAGTTTACTGTTACAAATATGAATGTATCTTAGAAGTCAGTACGAAATACGAAGCGGACTATGGTATTGCATATATATTATGTACATTATTTATAATAATATCGTAGGATGCTCGATGCGAAATTCATGGATCCGTTGAAAACAAAATTGCATACGGAAACCGGTATTATGTATTGTTTCCAAACTGTATTACTTTGCTAGTTGTAAAAAGTTTTCGAAGGAAAGAACTTGCTCTATCGTGGTCTCGTTTGTTTTTAGCCAATTGCATCTATTACTTTGATAAAATACAGTCGTTTCGTTACATCTTATAAACTATTACGTCGTTACACCGCTCGAAGCAACGTGTTACTTGGTAACGGAACGCAAAGAATTTGCAACGAATATGAGGGTAGCTGAAGTTAAATAATTGCTTAAAATTAATTTTTCCAGGTGTCTAAGGGACCACCGTGAGGTGAATTATTGCGTCACGGTGATCGCTTGTTAAAACGAGGGGGCGAGTACATTTGTAATAATAATATCGGAGTAGTAATAATAAGTTTCAACAATAGAGTCTAAATAAATAGCTATCCGTATTACAGTAGTCAACAAGCACACAATAAAAATTCCTTCGTTTCTATGATACAACCCTTATTATGAGGCGTTAAATAGACCAAATATAGCAATTTATTTACGAGGAGGACGCAACCAGACTTCGAGATTGTCTTTACAACTGTGCCCTGTTGCTTTTCCTTGCCGCAGAGACGACACAGCTTCAGACTCGCCTTGTGCAGCATCATTTTTACTTTATTTCACTTTATTTCGTAACACGATTTCTACGTTAATTAAATCGACCGAGTGTACAGCTTCACGTATATCAATCTCACACCTCGGTGAACATCTCGTCAATTAGAAAATCATTATGTATACGTTTTCCTTTCGATCAATTTCGTACGCTTATAAAAGACAGGAGGAAAAACAGCTGTCAGATGCGGCCACTGTGTTGTGCAGGGGTGGTATAAAAGAAGGAGCAGAGTAGGGGATGGGTTAGTCGGTGCTGTGCAGGCGCCATGAGCGATTCCCTTCATTGATCTTAGTTTTATATTCCTCCTTATTCCTTTTAGATTAAAATCTGAGATTAATCAAAATTCGGACCAAAGATTTACTTTTTACGGCTGGTAGTTCTCGAGAAAACAGCACAGTAAATCAGAACGTATGTGATAGGTGTTTATTTTTACGGGGCAAAAAGGTAGTTACTCCGTGTTTTGTACAATATTTTCTTTTATTTATCCTTAAAAATGATAATATCAAATATAAATACAAATGCATATTCCAAGACATATTCTCTTCGATACAGTTTACTGTTACAAATATGAATGTATCTTAGAAGTCAGTACGAAATACGAAGCGGACTATGGTATTGCATATATATTATGTACATTATTTATAATAATATCGTAGGATGCTCGATGCGAAATTCATGGATCCGTTGAAAACAAAATTGCATACGGAAACCGGTATTATGTATTGTTTCCAAACTGTATTACTTTGCTAGTTGTAAAAAGTTTTCGAAGGAAAGAACTTGCTCTATCGTGGTCTCGTTTGTTTTTAGCCAATTGCATCTATTACTTTGATAAAATACAGTCGTTTCGTTACATCTTATAAACTATTACGTCGTTACACCGCTCGAAGCAACGTGTTACTTGGTAACGGAACGCAAAGAATTTGCAACGAATATGAGGGTAGCTGAAGTTAAATAATTGCTTAAAATTAATTTTTCCAGGTGTCTAAGGGACCACCGTGAGGTGAATTATTGCGTCACGGTGATCGCTTGTTAAAACGAGGGGGCGAGTACATTTGTAATAATAATATCGGAGTAGTAATAATAAGTTTCAACAATAGAGTCTAAATAAATAGCTATCCGTATTACAGTAGTCAACAAGCACACAATAAAAATTCCTTCGTTTCTATGATACAACCCTTATTATGAGGCGTTAAATAGACCAAATATAGCAATTTATTTACGAGGAGGACGCAACCAGACTTCGAGATTGTCTTTACAATGCGATTCTCTATTTATAAAAATAGTTTATACTAAAAATAGTTATGCACAAGAAATATTAATTCTTTGGGAGAGAAACAGAATGTCGAAGAGAAACAAAGGGAATTCGTTTCGCGTTAACTGTTTGGCTACTTTCAAGCATTCATTTGGCGCATTCCTTCTTCCGTGTAAGGCTCTCATCGTACGCTTTAAAAAACCAATCGATCTCGTAGTAGTAAAATATATATATATATATATATATCTTCTCTCGTACTGTGAGAAATGAAAATGTTGTTTAGGCAAACGTCGAGGATATGTCAAATATCTATCCTTCTGCGATACGCTATGGATGCCATTGGAAAAATTACTTAACACGTTACGTTTTGGCATTATACGTTAATATCTAATCGTTACAATTTCTCTCTATGTAACCAGTGTGCTCGATTTTTCATTAGTAAAATACAAAAGTGGAAACAACTGATGGATTCTACTTTACAATTACGGTGTTCCAGATCGAAATTTCGACTAGTTCGTAGAAGCAATTGAAGCGCAATAAATTAATCGATGACTGCAGATCATTAAGCATGAACACAAATTTGGAAAATACATATTAAAAAGAGGTACTTCGCGCGTATACATATCAAGTTGATTAACGAGACTTTCATTTAAAAGTTCATCAAACATATTTATTGAATTCGCTTATAATAGATTCTATTAAAATGCACAAATTCTATGCACAGAAAATTGAATTAAACAAAGATCC